GTGCTACAAACATCCCCTTTTTAAAAGACAGGGGAAATATAAGCCCTCTTTACATGGGCATGCCTGTATGAGGTTCTCCTTAGTTCAGGCCAAATGTTTCCACTGTCTCCACTAGTTCCAGTTCCAACTGCGCTTTCAGAACCAGCTTCAAGGCAGTTCTAAGCAGATAGAACTGAGTATTGTATTGTGCACTTACAAGTGTGACGTCAGGACCCTTCTGCCTGTGGATTGTCTGAGCTGATGCAGAACTTGCAAAGTCCTCCAGCAAACTCTTCCAAGAGAGAGGTGAAGGAGACGAGTGCATACAGTTGAAGCTGGACGGAGTGTCTGAAATCAGCAGATATCATGGTGTGTTCAGACAAACAGGCCGCCCATGGTTACACAAGCACTTATAAACAGTGGCAAAAAGACAAAAAAGAAAAAAAAAACATGTCAGACTACTGGATGATCAAACCAAAACACAGTGGTGGGCAGCACTGATCTAAAAATTTGTTCCACTAGCCCTAAAAACACTAACTCAAATATTTAGGTCCCCTAATTCTAAAGCACTAATTTTAATATTTAGGTCCCCTAATTCTAAAGCACTAACTCAAATATTTAGGTCCCCTAATTCTAAAGCACTAATGCACTGATCGTTTTAGCAAAAGCTAATTCTAAAGCACTAAAATAACCCAGTCAACCCATGAACATTCTTCAACAGACAACATGAGTCACATGTTGCCATGTTGCTCTCTTAAGACTTTTCATTGACATCCCACAGCTGTTTTTGTCAATATATTGTCACCTAGTGGATAAGTTAAACATATGAATAAAATGTGTGACAGATTTCACTGTCAGCTGTTAACAGTAACATTGATCAATAATATTCATAGACCTCAGTTAGTGCTTCTAAATTTAGCAAGTGCTAATCCACTAATAAATTTTAAAATTATAAAAAGCCCTAAAGCATTAATTGGGAGATTAGTTCCCCTATTAGTGCTTTAGTGCTTTAGGGGAACTGTGCCCACCACTGCCAAAACGGATGATTTCATTTTCCTTTTTCACTACAATGGCTGACGATGCGCCCACAGAGTAAGGGACACACTGACGTGAACATGCACACACACACCTGAACAGAACCAAACAGTCATGAACCGAATAGAATGAGACTCGACAATGGAGACGGGGCTCTAAAGAGGTTTGTGAGTAATGTCAGGGGCATTACAATAGCCTTTAGCTTCTCGCTTGCTCATGATGATGAGTGATATTTTAGCTCTTGCTCCATGGGCAACTGTGCTGTTGAGACCATTGATCTATATTACTGGATTGGGCATCACTTGACTTATCGTGCGCCGCACAGGAGCYATTGCTATGCATTGAGTTTTGACTCGGGAACATCCATGAATAGGGGATGAAGCAGACAGTCATGCAAGGAATATCAAAATGGGATGCAATATTTTGCAATAAATTGTCAACACTACAACAACAAGATCACAAGATCAAGGTTATCACATTTTACAGGTCATTAAAATATTATTTAAAAAAATGTCAGAGATGCGGAAAGTAGGTCAGTTATGCTAGCTAGATTTTGACAACCTTATGTCGGGTAAACCAACGAAAAGACAAATTATAATTTTTTATTAATATTGTTATTATGTTTGGATAACATTGTGAGAAGTAAATATAATGGACAACAGTAAAATTAACTTTACTACCACTAGGCTGAACTGTGTAGATATTACTGGTACTGATGTTCTGTCCCATCAGCATATGGTATATCCTGTAGTTTGTGATTGTATAGCAGAGTAAAAAAAACTCTGTAACTTTTTTCCTCCACCGTACATTTCATAAGCTAAGCGGTGAAGAGGCCGACCGCATTTATTTTATGACCAGCTGGAGGAATTTGTCTTTAGTCACTTCAGCGCGAATGAAGAACCAGGAAACAAACGCAAAATTAGAATTATATATAAATATATATGACACACATAACTTAATTTTTTGTGACGGCAAGAGGCTTGTACTGTAAATACGTTAGCAAAAACCTATAATGAAAAGTTCCCAGACTGCTTATAGATTTATCCCTTGAGCAAATACATATTTTTACACATCACAACATCGGCAATTTTCTCAGCTTTAATTTAAGCCATATTTTATAGAAATCGGATAAGAAATGAGGGTGCTATGAATATTTTTGTGACAGATTGATGCACATCCCACACTGAAACTCTACCGTTTTGTTGGCATGACTCAGTGCATTACAATGGCTCCTATGATGGCACGTCGCTAGATATAGTGGCTATAGGCAATGTCCAATCCAGTAATATAGATCAATGGTTGAGACTTCTGATCTAAGTAAACAAGCTACACTTGGGCTGGCGGTTGGGCATGTAAAGACTGGTGGCCCGCAAGGACAATAAAACGCTGGAGGAAACCCTTGTGATGTTTGCTGTGGTCAGTGCTGTGGTCCAGGTTGCATCATAAAAGTTATTCGTTGCCAAACAAGTGCAAAATCTTTTGTGCAAGTTTGCTCACTGTAGCAACCTCTGCTAAAGGGAGCGGCCAAAATAAAAACAGCAACATGTCATTGAAGTTCTGTTGAACCAGTTTAATCACAACATCAGTAAATACAGCAACTTTTATCTGCTGGTTTACCCATCTTTTTTATTGTCACTGTGGTTACCTGTTGTGTGTTGTAAGAGTGTGTATATGGTTATACTAGATTTCCAAAGTTGGACAGAAGAAGTTAAATGTAGTTCCACAAATGACACCAGCCAGCACATACTGTAACTTTTGTTTGACTGTCCACCTGGAAGCTCAGGCTGCCACTGTGAGCTTGCTCCTGCAGGTTTGTTGTCCCTGTAGATTAGGGCTGCCACGATTAATCGATTAATCGATGACTAATTTAATAACCTATTAATTGTTTTCTTTTTTCTTTTTTTGTTCTTTACTTTGTTTTTCTCTCCAAACTGCTTTGACAGCTTCCACTGCCACATCTGTCTTTCTCTTTCTGTCCTTGACACACATGCACAGTAGTGGTAACTGGGGAAGGCCGTGGACGTCACAAGACATTATACAGACAGGCTCTGGTATCATGGCTACCTGACAACRGAGCTCAAAAGTGTGGGAACTTTTTAAGAAAATGAAAGAGAAACCTGTGCAATTTCTGCAGAGCAGAACTTGCCTTCCACAGCAATTATTTTAGTTAGCATATAGCTAAAATCTAACCATGGTTTATATAATAGCACCTGCATTCTGGCGTGATAAGTTGTATGTTTTATATTTAATTAACGTATGATCAGATTAGTCGACTAATCTAAAAAATAATCGCTGATTTATCGATTATAAAAATAATTGTTTGTGGCAGCCCTACTGTAGATAACTGTTGTGTGTAGCACGTTTTTTTAGCAGCATACCTTCCTACGCATCATTTGAGTCATTTTTGTTACGCACACAAAAGTTTTGAAATTTACAGTACGTTAAATACAGTATGTCTGSTTTGTTTACCAGGTCTGAACAATATGAAAACTTGCACCATTACACTGCTATTGATCCATATTACAAAAGAATGTTCCTCAAGCTGATTTATATCTGCAGACATGTCCTTGTCTCATTCTCCTGGCTGTCTTTGTGTGCAGGTGGCTGTTTGGAGAAATCACCTGCCAAATCTATGCCACATGTGGAGTGTTATTTGGTCTCTGCAGTTTGACAAACCTCACTGCTCTCTCCTTAGTGTGCTGCCTTAAAGTCTGCTTCCCCAATTATGGTGAGGGGATATTAACACAAGCATGATAATGTACCTCAACAGATTTTTATCACAAAGCTGATTAGCATAACCAAAAAAAGACTGAACCTAATAACTGCAAAGCCTCTTTTTATGTCTCCCCTTTCAGGGAACAAATTTTCCTCCTCGCATGCCCGCCTCCTGGTGGTTGGAGTTTGGTGCTATGCGTCCGTGTTTGCTGTGGGGCCCTTGGCACAGTGGGGGCATTACACTGCTGAACCTTATGGCACAGCCTGCTGCATCGACTGGCATGCGCCCAACCACGAGCTTTCAGCTTTGTCTTACATTGTCTGCCTTTTCGTCTTTTGCTACGCACTGCCCTGCACAGTCATCTTCCTTTCCTACGCTTTCATTCTGCTGACTGTGCGAGGGTCACGTCAGGCCGTTCAGCAGCATGTCTCACCACAGACCAAGACCACCAAAGCACATGCTCTCATTGTGAAGGTCAGAGGATATGGCTGTAATGCCTCAGTGGCACTGAGTACAGGGTTTGCATCAAACAGGATTCATAAAGGAAGTGACAGAATTAATTATTCAAGGCGTATAAAAACAAATTGCTAATTATTTGTTTTGTCTTTTTCCTATTATCTCGTGCATCAGTAGCATCATTAGCAGGAATGAAATTTGAATCTGAAATCTGCGTCAAAAACTCACCTTTTTGAAACTTTACTTGCATGATACGTAATTATTTTTTGCATGTTTTCTTGTATAAGCATCAGCAGATGAGTGTTTGCCTTTGTGTTCTTTCCACAGCTGTCTATTGCAGTGTGCATAGGCTTCCTGGGTGCCTGGACCCCTTATGCCATTGTGGCCATGTGGGCAGCTTTTGGAGAAGCCACACAAGTTCCTCCTGCTGCATTTGCCCTAGCAGCTGTGTTTGCCAAATCCTCCACCATCTACAACCCAATGGTCTACTTGCTGTGTAAGCCCAACTTCCGCGAGTGCTTGTACAGAGACACGTCAGCGTTACGACAGATGATTCACAGGGGAAGTCCACAGCCGCAAGAAGACTTCGGCTTCAACTCACAACGGAACAAGGACACCAGTGCCTCCATGAAGTTCTCAAACGAACAGCAGGAGAGCTACGGGGCATGTCTAAACTGCACTGAGAATGCAGATCTGTGCCATTTGACTGCGCCCCAAAAACCTGCCGGCATCCAGATGGGATCCACCTGCACAGAGGTGACAGTTAGCCAGATGTCAATCACAACTTAAACAGATTTTCTCGAACAGGACGGCGTCTTTGTTCCATGAAGCAAGCCAGACAGAAGACACCCTCAGAAAGAGAAACAACATCTCTGCAAAAACAATGCTATTCATGACTTCTTTGGATTCCCTAAACAGCCCTGACTGTATGATACTTGATCTTTCAAACAATCTACACTGTTTTGACAGTGAAGATTTGCCACAGTCGAGTATTTTTGTCTCAAAATTTCTGTGAAAGCTTGTCTTATCTTAATCTACAGAAATTTAGATTTCTAAGAAGCCAAAAACAAATCTGAAGCAGCCCTGCTGAGTCAACGTTAATCTGGAAAATTAATCAATTGCACTTTTGATTGCTGAAAGCCAAACAAAAGAGAGAAAAAAAGCATTAAATCACTGAAAGTTCACAAAAATTGTACAAATAATACCAAAGAAAGAACATGCATGCAAAGTAGTACTAAACCCACATGGATATGTTCCTGCAGTCTTTGTCCCCACTGGGATCAAACCTAAACACACAATCCAACTGACAACTTCTGTTTTCTAACAAAAATAATAATTTTAAAAAACTTTAAATGGTCCCTTTAAACCTGCAGGAGCTGAACATTTGATGCTAGAAAGAAAGATTCAGTAAAGAAGTCTGTATTTGGCTAAGCTAAATATTCTGCAGTAGGGCTGGGTTAGCTGGCCCAAGTGGCTGAGGAGAGGGAAGTCTGGGTCTCTCAGCTTAGGCTGCTGCCCCTGCGACCCGATCTCAGATGAGTGGAAGAGAATGGACGGACGGAGGGCTTGGTTATATGCCTGAAAAAAATATCAGGATATAAGCGTTTCATACCAGTCAATACTGATAATTATTAATTAGTTTTTGATTTTACCTATTTGAACTAAGAACCAATAAAAAAAGGCTGATTAATCCTGCCAAACTGGTCAGGTGACTTTTCCTCTTCTATCCATAATTTCCTCGAGCTGTTGCATTCATTTTCTGCTTTGACGCTACGTCATTCTAAATTTTTAAGCAGTTATGAGGCATGGTGGTGAAACATGAAACTGCCATGTTACTCAACAAATTGGTGTTAGTAAATTAGTCGATGCCACCAACCTTACTTAGCCAGGATGCGAGAGGTCAAGCGGCTAAAATAATGGATTTAGAGCAGCATTTTTTTAAGTTTGTGTTTATTTTTGTTTCGTGTAATACCCAAAGGTCACAGTGTGTAGCATCATGTATGGTTTAAAAGGAGCAACAGGTATTCACTCAGCAGGTGTGCTGATTACAGCAGAAACATACAGTTGACCGTTGTTGTCTTTTCAGCTGTCATTTTGTTTTGTTTGTGAGTATTGCATTGCGGCAATTGTGAGCTTTTTGATTACACTGTTAACGCTGTAAGTGTGCAACGTTAATTTACGCATCTTGTTGTAGAGTGCAAGATAAATAAATGCTCTTAAATCATAAGAAGCCCAAGCCTTCATTCATTGGAGCCAGGACGACGATGCGTCATCTAAGTGCCAGTCAGCAGCMTCTCAGTGACTTAGGTTTGTTTTGTTTTATTTTTTTAAGAACAAGTCACTTCAAATGGCCTGAAATTATATAGCTCCTTATCAAGTCCAAGGGCTCCAAAGCCTTTCACACTGCAGTCATTCACCCATTCATTCACACACTGATGGTGGTAAGCTACAWTGTAGCCACAGCTGCCCTGTGGCAGACGGCCAGAGGCAAGGCTGCCATGCACCGGCGCCTCCGAGCCCTCTGATCACCACCAGCAGGCAAGGTGGGTGAAGTGTCTTACCCAAGACTGCAACAGCTGAGACGGACAGAGCAGGGGTTCGAACCGGCAACCCACCGTTAAAGGAAGAACCCCTACATCTCGTTGCTAAAGCCATTGCTCTGCCTACATCCCCCAGAATGCTATGCAGTTCAGGATCGGAGTTCAGTGAAATGATCAACATTCCAGTGAACGTATTTTCTATTGATATTGATCATGTGTTTATTTGGATGTTATTATTGTTTATCACCCAGCCATATTCCACAGTGTGTTAGAAGTCTTATTTATAGATACAATTTTTAATGTTTCCCACTGATTGCTCCCATTCCCTTCACTTTTACACCCACTATGTTTAGCCTTGTTAAAATGCAGTGGGTAAAATAAGTATTGAACACGTCACCATTTTTCACAGTAAATATATTACTAGAGGTGCTAATGACATGAAATTTTCACCAGTTGTTGGTAACAACCCAAGTGATCCATACATACAAAGAAATCAAACCATAAATGTCCAGAAATGAAGTTATTTATACTAATGTGGAATGGCACAGGGAAAAAGTATTCAACATGAAGAAAGGGAGGTGTAAAAAGGCATGGAAAGMCAAGACACCAGCTGAACTCTCTCAGTAATTTGAAAGCAAGCCTGCCCCTTGTCAGYGCAAATTAATATCAGCTGGTTCAGTCCCAAATGATGGCCAGGTATCACACAAGAACCATCTGATGATGGGTAAAAGTAAAGAGCTYTCTCAAGACCTTCACAACCTTATTGTTGCAAAGCATAATGATGGCATCGGTTACAGAAGAATGTCTAAACTTCTGAAAGTTCCAGTGAGCACTGTTGGGGGCCATAATTCAGAAGTGGAAAGAACATCATTTCACCATAAACCGACCACGACCAGGTGCTCCTCRCAAGATTTCTGACAGAGGAGTGAAAAGAATTATCAGAAGAGTTGTCCAAGAGCCAAGGACCACTTGTGGAGAGCTTCAGAAAGACCTGGAATTAGCAGGTACGWTTGTTTCAAAGAAAACWATAAGTAATGCACTGAACCACCATGGCCTGTATGCACKCTCACCACGCAAGACTCCACTGCTGAAGAAACAGCATGTTGAAGCTCCTTTAAAGTTTGCTGCACAACATTTAGACAAGCCTGTGAAATACTGGGAGAATATAGTCTGGTCASATGAGACCAACATTGAACTGTTTSGATGCCAGAATACACATCATGTTTGGAGGTCAAATGGCACTGCACATCAGCCCAAAAACACCATACCAACAGTGAAGTTTGGAGGTGGGAACATCATGGTGTGGGGCTGTTTTTCAGCGTATGGTACTGGCAAACTTCAAATAATTGAAGGAAGGATGAGTGGAAAAATGTACAGAGACATTATTGATAAAAATCTGCTTCCATCTACCAGGATGATGAAGATGAAACGTGGCTGGACATTTCAGCAAGACAATGAGCCCAAACACAAAGCCAAGGAAACTCTCAGTTGGTTTCAGAGAAAGAAACTAAAGCTGCTGGAATGGCCCAGCCAATCACCTGACCTGAATCCAACAGAAAATCTATGGAAAGAACTAAAGATCAGAGTTCATAGAAGAGGTCCACAAAACCTTCAAGATTTGAAGACTGTTTGTGTGGAAGAATGGGCCAAAATCACACCTGAGCAATGCATGCCACTAGTTTCTCCATACAGGAGGCATCTTGAAGCTGTCATTGACAACAAAGGCTTTTGTATAAAGTTTTAGATAAATTTCAGTAAGCGTGTTCAATACTTTTTCCCTGTGCCATTCCACATTATTACAAATAACTTAATTTCTGGACATTTATGGTTTGATTTCTTTGTATGTACGGATCACTTGGATTGTTACCGAAATCTGGTGAAAATTTCATGTCATTAGCACCTCTAGTAATATATTTACTGAGAAAAATGGTGACGTGTTCAATACTTATTTTACCCGCTGCATAAAGGAAAAGAGTGATTTACCTTAATATTGCTTCAAATGTTGATTAATGCTAATGATGTGTTTAAATCTCACACATCAGTGTCCAATAAAATGTTATACTGTAGCTGCTTTATTTTTTGTCCTGTGCAGTTTTCCTCTTTGCTAATGTCAATAACAAAATACTGAAATGAGGTAGTCCTATCAACAGATCACGTCTGCTTAGTCAAAAAATACCATTTTGTATCAAAAAACACAAAAATACTGCAAAATTAATCTGCTTTACCTTTTAATGTAGCATTGTGGTGTTTGTGTTTATGTGCATATATAGATTACAGTGAATGCATTTGTGTGATAATATTTTATTAAAACTTTAAAAACGTTCAGAAACTGTTTGTTCTCATTTTTATTGAACTGTGAAAAGACTGGACAACTAATGAAAACTTTAATCTAGTAAAAAGAGGTTACTAAAGTCATACATACTTCTGAATGTAGACAATTCAAAATAGTCTTAACATTTCTGACAATAGTTTATATTCTGTGAATAAAAGTCAAGACTTTTTGTTACTTTGGAACCTGGTCATTAACTGTAAACTGTTGAGGTTTATAGAAGAAATCCAAGATAATTTGTAATCTCTGATGAAAAGATATTTGAGACAGCTGAATATAACTGAATTTTTATTCAATTTATGTGACATTAAAAAGGGAAAAGCTAATCTTGTTATTTCTTGTTAGCTGATAACGTTTGTTATAGGTAAACAGAGGAAACAATGCTGGTTATGAAATCAGCTGGGAGTTCAGGTTGCCATGAAAACACGAAGTAAAATGCTGTCTCTGACACAGATGGAAAACTCACTGAAACTTTGCTCAAGCGAAGGCCGCTTTCAGAAAAAATTCTTTCAGAATAAATAAAACCTTGCAGCCATGAGCAACACATCCTGCCCACGATGGAGTGACATTTGTGTTTCTGCTGTAAAATATGTGAACATACAGGCAAATTGAGCCTATTTTTGTTGTTTTCATGTGTGTGCAGACCTTGCTCTAATTGATGGCTTCATATTTTTCTGTCACCAGGACACTTCCACACTTCAGGGACAGAATGTGTCCATCTGATGTATTTATCATTTTGTGTGAAACAAAACAAATGTTTTTGTTTTGATGTTCAAAAATAATGTTTGTGTAGTGAACAAGCATAAAGTCACAGCTTTTCCACTAAATAAAGTACATTAAATTTACCTGATAATGATCTTTGCTCAGCCCTCCTCAAACACAACTGGACCATTAAGAAGYGATTGTATATTTTAACATCAGCCTGAGCTGTGATGGAAGAAAAAAGTACCGTCCAATAATACTGTGATCCAGAGAATTGTTAAAAATACTGTGATATTAAATTTTGGTCATACCTCCCAGCATTATTTGGTAGATAATTTCATTGTTGAAACAATCCTTCTTGGCAATAAATCTTATACCAGGCACCTGAATGGAAACACTTTGGGTACCAGAAGCTCAAAACATGAGTCAACAGCAACAGCAGAATAAGCTAAGAAAAGATCTCACTCATTTTTAATGTGCCCAATCCACCTACTCAGCCCTACTGCTCATCCCACAAATGCTTGTTCCTTACAATTGTGACACCATTTAAAAGGGAATTTAGCAGGTTTTCCAATAATATAAGCTTTATTACTAAGAAGCATTGCTTCAACAAAGAAATAACCTACCAAACACAAATTTCCTTACTTTTTTTTGTGGTAAATGTGCATACATTGTACTTTGAGAAAGAGGTTTACGACTATATAGTAGCGCAGAGACTTTTTATTTGATGTCAACAATGCAGTGTCGTATAAAGTACCTCAAAGTGAAACTTGAGTAAAAGTACAAGTATCTTATCATAAAATACTTTGGTAAAAGTTAGTCTTCTATAAGAATATTACTTGAGTAAAAGTCTTAAAGTATATTTTTGTACTTAAGTATCAAAGGAAAATTTCTGACACAAAATCTACTTAAGTATTAAAATTAAAAAGTACTGAGTAAAAGTAAACAGTTAGATTTTCCAAAATGACATTTATTGGGAGGTGACTTCTCCAAAAAACATTTTTTAACAGCCTGCCACTTTGCAAAAGCAAATGCACATGAAGGTTCAGCTCAGATGCTGAGCTATTTGTTTTCCCTAGCTGGGAAAAAAAAGGGTTGAGGGATAAGCTTTTCACTGCAMCCACAATAGGGAACTAGTATGATACAGCCCAAGGTGGAAGAAAAGAATGAATAAATATGGCACATAACATTTAAAGGAAACTGGCAGAGCTCTCCCACACAGCTGTACATTTTTATAACTCATGAAAAATCTATTATTATCATTATTATTATTATTATTATTATTATTATTATTATTAGTCAAGTGACTGAACTGATTATTTTTATTTTTAAATGTTTTTCAGAAGGCAGTTTTCCTTAAAAAATAATCAACATTGGGTTTTTTTTGCAGCAGTTAACCCTGATTAAAAGTAAAAATAAAAAATCTAACATATTTGTGGTATTTTACAGCCTCCTCTCCTCATGTACTTTACAATTCAAAGTCTTATTGTTCTACACAAACTTTTCTTTTTGTTTTCCCTGCAGCTCTTTGTATAATTATGTGTTTGTTCAAATCCAGACTGTGACATGACAAACCTCTGCTCTCGTGCAGCTGCACTGCCTTGGGCAATGCTTTAAACATAAAAACTCACATTTATTTCAGCCTGTTTGACTCTTGGCTGTGGAAAGTTGTTGTAAAGGACAAGAGTAATTAAAGTAAGTGTGGATCAGTAAGAAACAGAAAGAAAAGCAGAGAACACAAGAGGAAAACTAGATTTTTAGTGGATTGAAGCCTTTTTTACTTTACCTGTTGTCTGAGAAGTCCTAACATCTGAAAGTTTTCTTCTCATCCTGTAATCAAGAACAGAACTAATTATTACTGTGTCAAATAATAACTATTAGTCAGGGTGACGCTCGAACAGCTGCTTTGTTTTTTTATTCAGTTATGTAAAATCTATAAACATCTAACTTTTAACAATATTATTTTTTGTTTCAGTTTCACAAATGAAAGATGGGTTTTTGATTTCAAATTTTAATAAATGAAACAGTGTGATGACAAACTTTAGTCTCACACACAGATCCTCGAAAACACTTTTCTGACGTTTCAACATTTTAACTTCCTATCTCCAGCCATTAAACATGTTTAAATCAGTGTTCTAGTGTTCTGTTTACTGTCATCCTGTTTAAAGACATACAGCACACACAGAATACACAGCGTATCAAAAACAAAGCGCAGTTGTTGCAATAAATGCATCATAAACGACTTCCTGAACTCCATAAATCATAGGCTGTTATAGTCCAAGTGCCAAACCCTCTGTGTGCCAGTGATATATCAGGTCAGTCTTGCAGCTCTTTACAAGGGCAGCCATGTTTACAGGATGCTGATAAAGATGCTAAAACAAGTCAAGGGACGTGAGTGCTGAGAAGTTAAGGCTGAAGTAAATCTGAATTTATTGAAACCGATATTCAATTTACAACAATACTGCAACAATACTTTCCTAATACTGTGGAGTTATTATATATGCATATATATTAGGGTTGCAACGATTTCCTTAATTTTGGGAGATTTGTGATTGCCCGGTAGAAAAGATTGGCCTCTCATCTACCTCCACAAAGGTCTGAAGATCAACCACTGTCACCTTCTGCTGTGAGCACTACCTAATGTCCAGTTCAAACAAGTTTGTATTGTTCAATGTTTTTCATTAAAATAAGAGTGGAACGTTGAAGGTACTGTATATTGTGACCTTATAACACCTGACTGTCAGTTCAAAAAAACTGCTATCAATGCACCTAATACATATAACATATACAACTCATTATATCTCAGTACAGTCTTGAATAAAGAAAAAATTACATCTGTCAAAGTTGTACCCGCCTCTCACTCATTGACTGGTGGAGACAGATAAGTATATTCGTGGCACAACGAGGAGAATGTTAAATGTTTTGTCTTATCCAATGTTTGACAGTAATTCAACTTCTGGCCCAACAGAGGGCGTCCTTCTTCAGGCTTTCCTAACAAAGCTTTTTAAGAAGATTGGGTGTTTTTTTTCTTCTTTTGTTTTTTTTTTTTTTTTTTGGTTTCTTTGTTTTTAAACACATTTCAGATGTTTATAAATTGAATTGAAATAAAGACTTTGGAAAGTTAATTTTCAAAACTTTGCGTAACTACTGTATACATTTTGTAATCAGATTTCTTGTGTGTTTGGGAGACTTCTCTTATCTATCGTGGTTTGAGGTTCTGTTGAAGAATTTAGATATTTTCAAACTCCAGGTGAGATTCAACCAGAGATGGCCACCTGCGTTTAAAATGTTTTGTTCTTGTTTAATGTAATAAATGGCTTATTTTACCTCTCTCTCAACCCATCTGTCTTCTCTGTTCAAAATATAAAAGACTGCAGCACTGAGCCCAATACCCAGCTTCCCTATAATTCACAGAGGCATCAGGCATGTGACCAATACATCTCTCTGTGAGCAAGGGAAACAAAAAAGCCTAACTAGTCTCCATTGTAAAGCAGGTAACTTAATCTGCATGCAAAAATTAGGCTATACCACTAAGCTTGGAACTCCACACTCTCAGTGAGCTCCTCGGATGGGAGTAGAATAGGGCTGCCACGATTAGTCGATGACTAGTCGATTATTAAAATAGTCGATGACTAATTTAATAATCGATTAGTCATTTTTTGTTTGTTTTTTACTTTGTTTTTCTCTCCAAACTGCTTTGACACCTTCCGCTGCCACATCTGCCTTTCTGTCCTTGACACATGTGGACGTCACAATTAAACTGACAGGCTCTGGTATCATGGCTACCTGACAACGGAGCTCAAAAGTGTGGGATCATTTTAAGAAAATGAAAGAGAAACCTGTGCAATATCTGCAGAGCAGAACTTGCCTTCCACAGCAATTATTTTTAGTTAGCATATAGCTAAACTTTAATGATGGTTATATAATAGCAGCTGCATTCTGGCGTGATAAGCTGTGTTTTATATTCAATTAACGTATAATCCGATTAGTCGACTAATGGAATAAATAATCGGTGATTAATCGATTATAAAAATAATTGTTTGTGGCAGCCCTAGAGTAGAAACAACTTTAGCTGCATAAGAGAAGACCTTGTTGTTGTTTTAAACTGGTTTTGGATTTAACATGTCAGACTGAGAATCTACATCGATATGGACTAACGCTGATGAGGAGATGTGAAACAGCTGAGCTTAATGAAACAGAGAGCAGGTGGAAGAGGCAGTGGCACGAAAGGGAATTTGAGAGGCCGCCCTTGTGCGCTCAGTGGGATTTGCCTGGATAAATAACAGTATATAAAATAAACTGAGCACAAAGAAAACAGAAACCAAACTTAATCAGACATAAACATGAAAATAAATTTCAAAACAGAAAACTAAACACTAGAAATACACAGATCATGAAAGAAGTGTATTACTTTTACTCCAAACAAATCATTTTGTCTCTGGTGTTTCAGCTGCTACCAGACAGTTTTACCTCTTGAGAATGGAGAGCCATTTTATTCAAAATGAAACAAATAAACACTGTAACTAACAAATATCCCATCAAATGAATTAATGACCCTGTGAAATAAAACAAAATCAATGTATTAAAATAATGTTCTTAGCCTGTCTAATTTATTTTTTATTAATTTATGTATTTTAAAGAATGAATTTCAGGATTTTTTTTTTTAAATATGTAAAACAGGGGTGCCCAAACATTTTTAAACCAAGATCTACTTTGAGGCTGCCGCTTTGCCGAGATCTACTTTTCTATCCAAGGTATCAAACACTTCACATTTGTACTACCATTTAAAAGTTTATTGATTATTTAAAACAAAAACACATAAGAAACTGACTTTATAATTTAGGTTTAGCAGAAGGTTTAAAGTTGAACTTACGTGACTCTGTAGCACGCTAACTAGCCGTAACTCAGTAGCTTGCTAACTAGCCTAGTAGTAGTGGGCAGCGGGGTGCGAGTGAAGGCGCATGCGTGGTATAGTGACCCTATGTAAAAAATAAAATAAAATAAAATAAAAGCTAGGCTATGACTGGCTGCTCTTATGTCTATCAAGTTACAAACATCATTGTGCAGACGGCTGACAACCAATCATCGAGATCTCCTGTATTTTTTATGCCAAATCAGGTGATCTACCTACACCACCTCTGCGAGCTACTGGTAGATCGCAATCGACGTAATGGGCACAACTGATGTAAAAAATATGTATTTTACCTTTTTTGTTTATATTAAAAATAACCTTATTCCTTTCTTTATTTCTTTATATATTTCAGGATTTATTTATATTTAAAAATACATTTCCAAATTCTATTATTTAATTATATTGTAGTTGGGTTTTGAGATACCTTTATCTTGTAAAGCTACTTTTTTACTAAAACCTCTGTAACTTTGCTCTAGTTTATTTTAGCAGCATGAATATTTGCACTAATGTCCACATGTGGATTTATGGTTTCCAAGAGTTTTTAGCCTTATTCATCATATTTTTAAAAGGGTTAAATACTGTTTAAGGAAAAAAGAAAAAAAACCTCCAGGCAAGGGGAAAAAATATTTGTTTGTTTGTTTGTTTGTTTGTTTGTTTGTTTGTTTGTTTGTTTGTTTGTTTGTTTGTTTGTTTGTTTGTTTGTTTGTTCCGTCCTCACTATCTCTTACACAATAGTAGTTGCTCTGTTAGCTTTATTTTGATATCAAAATCCTTAAAGTTTGTAAATGCTGAAATTCACTAAGGTAAGTTTTCGGCATGTTATTTTGAGCACAAACTTCAAGGAAACCCTGTGGGGCCGAAGAGGTCAAACGGATCATTTAATAACGATGGCCTTAGAGCAGTATTTCCCGAAGTTGGGGTCGGGACCCAAAGTTGGGTCCCGAAACATCAAGGTGGGGTCCTGAAAAGATTTTCTGAATTAATTACATTTTTGCCTTAGTTGTTACAAATGAGTGAAGTTAGTATATTTAAAATGGATAAATGTAGTATAAAAAACATTGTTATTATGCTCATGTTTAGTTGACCTGATACAAATGTTTATCATCCAAACATAATTGGGGGCACAGGTCTCTACTGTTATTTTGTGGGTCAAAGGCTGAAAAGTTTGGGAACCACTGCACTTTGGTTCCCAAAGTTGGGCTTGGGACCCAATTATGGGTCATGAAGCACCTTGGATAATCTCCAGAAATCAATTTAAAGGGTAATAAAATAATTGCTGATGTAATATTTTCCCTATAATTATTACAAAAACACAAAATAAGTAAAAAATAAGTATTTATATTTGTGTACAAACTGTTTAGATTGTCAAAAAGCCTGTGTTTTTAGGGTTATAAACGAAGTTCATGTACTCAGACCAGTAATATTTGGGGTCACAGGTTTTTGCCATGGATATTTTATGGGTCAGAAGACAAAAAGTTTGGGAACCACTGCCTTAGAGCACATTGAGGCTACAGGTGAAACTTGTGTGATGTTTTCACCTTCACAATGTGCTGCAGGCTGTTTCTTCTTGGKGCTAGGATGTCCTCTAGTGAGAGCAAACAGAAAAACACCAGGAAAACTAACTTATGAAGATTAAAGTTTAAATAAACAACAGCAAACAATCTACCAAACAGATACCATAAAGTTATTTGTAAAAAATAAAATTCCTGCACCCTCTAAAACAAATATGCTTAAAGTAATTTGAAACAATTAAGAGGACAAATGATCAAGATRGAAAGAAATTATGCTGTGAATGGAATAAAGTGAATCAACAAATTTCAACACASATGTCGAACCCAAAAACTTTTAAAAACCGTAATCAGTTAAATTTCTATACTGTCAACAAAACCAGCTGTGACAGCAGGAAAATAAATATTGACATAACAATAAAACAGCTTGTTGTTGCAGTCACTTAGTTTATTAAATACAACCCTTGAACACAAGCAAAAGTTTATTTTCACCATAAAATATTTTTGTTAGTAACTTTTTATTTAATTCATAAATCTAACTCTTCATTCCGCAATGTAAAATATATACAGTATGTTGAAAATATAGCCTAAGTTATAAATAAAAACATTAATCAGATGGACCAAATTATTTACGTCAATAAACCTTTTAAAACGGTTCTGTAAATTACTTGCAGTTTTAAACGTGTGTGATGAAAACCTAAAATAAAACACGTCATTTGCAGCAGTAGTAGTCCGCCATCTGTTAATATTTTGCTGAAAGCTACATCTGTGCATGCTACACGATGCAAGTCCAGGAAAATCATTCAGCATTTAATACTTAATAAAAACATAAGAGTGTCTGACTGCCGGCATGACAAAGTTTACCTCTTATCGACGGAAAAGTTGCGGAAGTGCACACATTTATTCAGCACTGTGTGCGTCTCGCGCTCAACCTTCTTGGTTAGCTTAGCATTGACTTTGACACTACAGCTGTAGCTAGGTAACCTGACTAGTCTCGTGCGCATTTACGTGTCAAAAACGCGGTACTTTAAAAGCTACGGTAAGTAAAAGTTAAGCTAACTTTTCAGTCGCTGCCAGTCCATTTGTTTAATAAGTTAATAAATAATAAACAGATTTTTTTTTCTGTCTAAAATATATAATATCTTGTAAATCTTAGCCTCCGTTTGGTTTTCACCTGTAAAACTCGCTAACTCCGTGACGCAGTTGCGGCCAGTGTTAGCTTTGGGCAGATCATCAGAGAGTTGGCAAAACATGAATAAATACGTTTTAACATTACAGACACTAACCTTTGTGTCGCAGGTAACACCTACCTGTTCAACATGATGTTCTATACACAACTTTTTACGTCCAAGCGTGGCCCTTTAGCTAAAATCTGGCTGGCAGCTCACTGGGAGAGGAAACTCACCAAGGCTCATGTGTTTGAGTGCAACTTGGAAACAACCATCAGAGACATCATTTCTCCAAAGGTACACTTCCCCACAGCACTACATCAACCACATACAGCTACACTACTTAAGGTTTTATTTATTTATTTATTTATTTATTTATTTATTTATTTATTTATTTATTTATTTATTTTTCTTTCTTTCTTTCTTTCTCCAATAGATGAAAATTGGATTGAGGACTTCTGGTCATCTGCTCCTTGGTGTGGTCAGAATGTACTCCAAGAAAGCAAAGTATCTCCTTGCAGATTGTAATGATGCTGTGGTCAAAATTAGAATCGCTTTCAGGCCAGGTAACTTTTATTTCACACACACACACACGCACATATATATATATACA